GGGCCCAGCCCACAGCAAGGGTTCGATAACCTGTCAGTCTCTTTTTCCTTGTAGCATTTCTGTGATGGAAGCACCCGGTCATAGATTGAAAACAAGGGAGAGACCAGAAGACACCTCTTGGAAAGCAAGGAGAAATGGTCATTTATGAGCCCAGTCCCAGTTGGCTGCTCACTTCCACACACCATGACTCCCACCAAAAGACACTGGGACCCCAGGGCAGGATGAGCCAGTCAGAAGCTGGGGACAGCAGAGCTGTAGGCAATGGCACCTGAAGGAAGAGGGCCATAGGCCTTCTGTAGCGATGAGTGCCTGGGGCTCTGGAGAGGGTCAGGCTGGGCAGGCTGGGGGTCTGCATACTCACTCGAGAGCCCTAATAAAGGGCGTGTGTTGTTCCATCACCAGGAGGAAGGGAAATGTGGAGGAGATGCTGGGAGAACCCATGATGGCCCAAAGCCTCCTCCCAGTCTGCCCCCAAGACCCATGCATGGGACCAAGGGCACATCTGTAAGCTCACTGAGGGGACGAGCAGGGGCTTCTGGATGATGATCAAAAAGTGGCCCCATGTGGGGAAATGGCCCGCCAACAAGGACCGTCTGGACAACTTAGCAGAACAAGGGCCCCATGGGCTGTGACAGAGGAGGAGAGGAGCTCCTTGCTGAGGACCTACCACGCGCCAGGCATTCTGCAAAGTGCCCTAAATGTGTTATCACAGCTGCTTCCTTCAACAGCCCCAGCACCAGGTGGTGTGGTAGAAAGAGGTGAAGAGGCCTGGCTCAGGGAGGCAGAAGAGCCAACACCTCTACCCTGTCCATGTGCCCTCTTGCACATGCTGCCTCCAGGATCTGGGAGGTAGAACCAGGTGACACTGCACAGATGGCTCAGATGAGCCAGCACATATCAGGAGAGCTGGCCCATGCACAGGAAGGAGGACAGGGTTCCCTGCCCAGCCAGGGCCCCAGGGCTCCAGGAAGAGGAATCTCCTTTGCAGCCAACAAAGGTAAAGGACAGAGGCCCTGCACGCCTCTACAGCTGCATCCTCGAGGGTCAGGCTGGGACACCTGCCTCAGGGCCTGGAGTCTGCAATAAACATGACAGGACCACTTAGAACTGAGCAAGCTCTACGGGGGATTCTGAGGAGACTGGCTGAGCTGGCGTGTGGCACAGCTGACTCATAAGACAGGCGACACTCAGGGCCCTGGTGGAGTCAGCCAGCGTTCCCTGAGGCCACCTCAACCTAAGGTGCCACAGACGTTTTGTTAGGAAGATTACAGACTGAAACAAGAGCACCAAAAATAATTGCAAGCAGGTTTTATTTAAGTGTTGATTCATGGTTGTTCTATAAGCCAACAGCCTGTCAGAACTATAAATTAATGAGATAAAATGTTGCTGGCCCTCCATATTTCAGGCCGGGTATTGACATTTTAGAATCCACAGATTTTTAACTGTATTGATTGAGGACACCAGGATAAATGGCCTTGGCGCCAAATTCCCATTAACGACAATGGGCACCGAGTGACTAATTCCCAAAGCGCTGCGGTGAGAACGCCCTGCACTGCTTTCTCCTGGCAGGGAGTTCTAATTAGATTGAAATGAAAAAGCCAAATCACCAAGGGCGGAAAAAGGCAGATCCAGTAAAAAGGGAGATTAGACTCAGCGAAGAGAAAGGACAAGGTAAGTCCAAGCGGGACGAAAGCCACAGGGGCTGCAGAGCCCACCCCAGTGGCTAAAGAGAGCACTTACCAAAACCCGGGCTGGAGGTGGGATGTGCACAGATGAGGTAGGAGACATAGGGGGAGACACAGGTGGAGCCCTGGCAGTCCCTGATGGGCTTCACTGCCCAGGTAGGAGGACCTGGCAAGGACCAACTCAGCTCATCTTACCCACACAGGCACTGAGCAGCTGCTCCAAGCCAGCCCTGGCCAGAGGATAGAGACACAAAGAGCACCGGGACAGGACCCCATGCTCATGGAGCTCCCATGCTAGCCAGGGAGAGGGACATGGAAACCAACCACCCTCAGCAGAAGAGGCCCTGTCTGAGTGTGGGGAGCTTACCCAAGGGTGAGGTCCAAACCCCTCAACCATTCTTTCGCAGGGACCCACCATACTCTCCACTGTGGCCTCAGCACCAAGTCCTACATGCAGTGGGTGCACAGTAAGTAACTGCAGAGTGAATGAAACTGGGCCTTCAACAGATGAACCCAGTGGTAAGCGCCATTCCTAGCAGAGGGATGGAGTGAAGAAGTCCTCAATCACCTCCCCCACTGGATGGTAATGCCCTGGGGGCAGGGTCATGCTTTTCTTTACCCACAACACACCATAGCTAGAGGGGCACATTGGGCCTGGGGCCAGACAAGCTGTTCTCTGAATGCAGTCTCGGCAAGGCATTCTACCTCCCACTCCAACTCTCCACCAGGGGCTATAGGTCACCCAGGACCAGCGGGAGCTACCAAGGAGGTCTACTCAAAGCACAGATCGAGCCCTGACTCACTCTTGCCTGCTTCAAATTCAGCAATGGCCTCCGCCTGCCACCTGCTATGGCGGTCCCTGACTTGTCAGGCAGGAGGACCCTCTTTGAATGTCTAAAAATTTCAGAACCCCCTGTCAAGACACATCCACACATACCCACCCACACACACAATTGCATGCATTTGTTTAACATCTGTTGATTGAGAGAATAATGCTTAAGGGCCACTATGAACCCATCAATGCCATCAAATGAATTTGATTTGAGTAACCCAACGGTGTGAGTGAGTGAGCTTGTCACTCTGTGAGCAGTGTGCTACCCACATGTGCTCATGTGACCCACAGGCTGGGGTTTCCCCTCCTGCACTCCTCAGACTCATCTCCTCCAGTCCCAGGACCCCATATTACACCCTGCTTTGGTTTCCATGCATACTACATGGAACCCTGTTCCTGTGACAACCCTGTCCTTGTTCCATCTGCAAGAACCTACTTTCCTCCTCATCAACCATACCTCCTCCATCCTAAATCTCTGTCCACCTAATATGTGGCTCAGCTCAGGTTTCACTTCCTTCAGGAAGTCTTCCTTGATTTTCCAAGCTAGATGTTCTTGTAGTTGCTGTGTCTTTCTCCATCACTGCAATTTGGGATTGACTGCACTTCTGTCTTCCCCAGCAGACAGGAGCTTCTCCAGGGTAGGCACTGGGTCTTGTTCAGCTGTGTCTCCTCTATCAAGCATATCTTATGGGACATGCAGACAACAGTGTAACAGTCAGGCAGCAGGCTTTGGGGCCTGGCAGACCTGCGTGCATCCTGGCTCTGCCACTTGCTGGTTTGTGCCCCTGGCCAGCGTGTGTACAGCTGATTCTGATGGCGCCTGTCTCAAAGGTGAGCAGGGCCTAAATGAGACGCTCTATAGAGGCTACAGAAGAATGCCCAGCACATAGTGGGTGCTCAGTAGTAAGTGCTGCCATCATCAGCCCAGTCATCACCATTAACAAGTGGCATTAAACTCCCTGAGTCTGGCCACTCTGCAAGGGATTAAGAGAATCAGCAAGACCAGGGAAGCGCTTCATGAGAAGAAACTGCTACACACATGGCACGGTGGGAAGGGCACAGGATCTGCAGTTGCACAGACATGGCTTCAAATCCCTGCTGGCTATGCACCACTGGGAGGCACTGAGCAAGCTGCTTCGCCCCTCTAAGCCTCAGTTTCCTCTCCTTTAAAATGGAAATAATCACTGCCGGCAGCTGCAGTGAAGATTAGACATGCTGTGTGCAAAGCCTATAGCACCTGGCAGGGGCCCTGTGACCATCAGTATTGTCCTCTCCCCTACTGAGCATGCAAGGAGCTGCACGGCTGCCCACATGCAAGGTGGAAACAAACCACCCTCTCCATTTTCCCTCTGCGTCTCCTCGGGGCTGCTGGGCATGAGCAGCAGGGGATGGACCAGCAAGTTATCATCTCCGTCTTGCCAGACCCTGGGAGAGGCAGGCCCCAGAGCCCCCACCACTGCAGGGCCAGGCAGGCAAGATGCTGGCCTGAGGGCTCAAGGGGAGCCCCAGGGACTGGTGTGAAGTCTGGCCTCTCCCTGGGCTCCTGGCAGTGGAGCCCAGCAGAAACAGGACCTAGGAGGAGCTCTGGGGAGGAGGAAGTGTGGTGCTGAAAGAAGCTGGATCCTGCTTATGGAGGGGGATAAAACATTTTTAAAAAGGAAAGGAAGAAAAGAGAGAAAGAGAACAGAGAGGGGAGGGGAGGGGAGAGTAGGGGAAGGGAGAGGGGAGGGTTGGGAAGGGGAGGGGAGGGGAAGGATGGGGAGGGGAGGGGAGGGGAAAGGAGAAAGAGAGGAAGGGAGTCAGATGGCAGAGGTGTGAATCCCAGCTCTGCCACTCCCTGGCTGTCTTCACTGTAAACCCCGGACAGGGCCCACTGGGGGCCATGGCTGCAGTGGGTGTTGACAGTGCCTGTTGCACAGGAGCGTTCAGTAAGGAAAGTTCCTTCCACTGACTTCTCTCTCCTTCTCACCCTGCTTGTCAAGAGCCCCCTCAGGATTTACCCAGCACGAATCCATCTTGCCCAAGTGCCTTTTCAGTGTGGGCATTAAAGCAGAACTCGTTTGAAGACTTTCCTTATGAGCTGGAATCATTTCTCACAGCCTTTCAACGATAATGAATTGACAGGAATTCTAACCTGATTCCAACCAAAGGACACAGTGATAAAGTTAAATCTATTTCAGCACAAATTGCATGTCAGAAGTAGATTAAAAAGCCACCTCTTTATCCAGCCCCATGGCTTGGGGCTCAGACAACCTTGGGGCTCTGTCCTCTGTGTTGGCTGGCAGAGGCCCACCCTCTGTGGGGAGTCGCAGTTCCAATGGGCAAGCAGTCTGGAAGCCCTCTCACTGAGCACAAGCCCACCCTGAGGCCCCTCTCCCTCTGCCACACAACCGTATACAGCTTGTGGCTGCATGCCCACCAGAGAATCTTCCCCAGGGAGAGAGCTACCAGCTCACCTCAGGGTGGTGATATAAGAAACGCACCTGTTTCAAGGTCTGTTAGGTGCAGGGCGAAGTCAAAGCCACCGCTGAGGATGCGCCGGCCACAGGGAGCCCAGCGGGCGGCCCGCACTGCCTCTGTGTGCAGGGAGTATGTCTGCAGGCAGTGCCCGGAGTCCACGGCGTTCCATACCTGCAGGCAAATACAGACGGCACCAGGCGTCACAACAAGGGCCTGATCTACAGGACTCAGCTCCACCCCTCTGTAGAAAGAAAAAGGTCTCGGTGGAATTAGATTCCCATTATTTTACCATCAAATCTATATCTAGATGTTAAACTTTTCATTGCAGAAATGTAAAGGCTTGGGATTGGTAAGTTGGGAGGATCATTTCCCCAAATTTTTTCTGGGGTTAAGAAAACAGCATTCTGGACGGGTACGGCAGCTCACACCTGTAGTCCCAGCACTTTGAGAGGCAAAGGTGGGCAGACTGCTTGAGCTCAAGAGTTCGAGACCAGCCCAGGCAACATGGTGAAACCCTGTCTCTACAAAAAATTAGTTGGGCGTAGTGGCACATGCCTATAGTCCCAACTACTCAGGAGGCTGAGGCAGGAGAACTGCTTGAGCCCAGGAGGCAGAGGTTGCAGTGAACCATGATTGCACCACTGCACTCCAACCTGGGTGACACAGTGGACTCTCTCAAAAGGAAAGAAAAAAAGAAAATAGCATTCCTGTGTCTGCTGGTCACCTACCCAGCCCTTCCCACCTGCTTCATCCCTGCGGCCAGGAGGGAGTCCTGGGCCCTCAGCATTCACAGCCCTATCCCAGTTTCACCTGCGTCCCTGGCATCTTATCCTGGGCTCCCCTGCATCCTCAGCATCTTATCCCAGGCTCACCTGCATCCCTGGCATCTTATCAGGCTCACCTGCATCCCTGGCATCTGTCCTGCCACGGACACTGCCCAAGGCCAGGCTATTTTCATGGTTCTGCTGTAAGACTGAGATCCAAAAAGGAACCTGTCACACTCGTATTTACAACCAGTCAAAGTACAAATATCTGCCATAGGGGCAGCTGTCCTTTTGTTGGGGGAGAGAAGGTGCTGTCTCTCCTTCCCACCCTGGCCTTCCATGAGGATATGAGGCTATGAGGCTCGTGGGAGAAAACCCTGTTACACTCAATGACTTCTGAAAAATTACCTAAGATATCACGTATAAAACTGCATGTTCCCAGAGCCAGGGCCACACCATGTGAGAGCCCCTGAGCTTAGCTTTCCACCAGCTCTCCCAGCAAATGCCGCCAAACACACCGTGCAGCCCAGGGGAACAGCCACAGAATTCGGAATATGTCAGGGTAGGCCCAGGGCCTGACACACAGAGGAACTCAGCAGTGCTAGTCCCCTACCTTCTTGTCACTGCAGGATGAGGGCAATGCTCTCACCTACCACCCAGGTAGCTCAGAGGCTGAACCCGAGCAGAGGAGCACTTGCAGCCAGCACGTGGGAGTCAGAACTAAGTGCCTCCCACCTGATACGGCTGCTGGCAGGCCTCGGGCCTTGGCTGAGTGGCTTTGCCTCTCTGGGCCTCAGTCCCCCTCTCCCTGAAGTGGGGATAAGAAGGGCATCACCCCAAGGGCAGTGGTAAAGGCTGAGGAGGTAATGGCTACACAGCATATGGCATAATGGCTGGCACATGGCTGAACGTGGATTCCAGACCTGTTCCATTAGGAAAACGAAGCTTCATTTTCTTTAATAAGAGAAAAACCCAAACAAAGTACACCCATGCACTTCTACAAACCTGATCCCAGGGATAACCTTCTCATTAAAAATGAGAAAATTCAACCTGCCAAGTCCTGAATGTTCTCAGAATGCAAAGGATCAGAGCTCTGAAACCTTGTTTCCTGGGATTATGTAAATGCCTACACTTAAGAAAACAAAAGGTCAAGAGTAGCCTTCAAAAAATGTGAAGAGAGCTCAGTTTCTTTCTTCCTCACTAAGGGTCAATAGCTGGGGTCTCAAACTGAAAAAATCAAGAAACAGCAGTATTTACATTTAGAAACACGACACAGCCAGAAGACTTCAAAGTGGAGTGAGAATTCATGGGAGAGAGATGGGGCACAGGGAACTGCTGCCTTCCAAAACTATGTAAGAATATGAGTTTAATTTTATTTAAATAGTAAAATAAGCTAGATCTACAGAGTTCACATGGTTAAACAGTAAAAAAGTTAATATTAAATACGTAAGTCAAGCTGCATATACAAAGTACAATGCCATTTAAGTTTTTACATGAAACACCATCTCGTACCCATTAGGATGGCTGCTATCAAAAAACAGAAAACAAGCATTGACAAGGATGTGGAAAAACTGGAACCCTTGTCCACTGCTGGTGGGCATGTCAAATGGTGCAGCCACTGTGAAAAACAGCATGATGGTTCCTCAAAAAATTAAGTGCATGCCCACAAAGCTGAAACCAGGGTCTCAAAAAGATACTGTACATCCATGTTCATAGCAGCATTATTAATAACAGCCAAAAGAGGGGAGCAATCCAAGTGTCTATGGACAGATGAATGAATTGTAAAAGTGTGTTCTATCCATACAGTGGAAGAGTATTCAGCCTTAGAATGGAAAGAAGCCTTGGCACTTGCTACAACATGGATGAAACTTGAAGAAATTATGCTAAGTAAAATCAGCCAGACACATAAGGACAAATACTATATAACTGCACTTATATGACGTAGCCAGAATAGTCAAAATCACAGAGATAGATAGAAAGTAGAATGGTGGTGGCCAGGGCTGGGGGAGGGGGAATGGGGAGTTGTTTAATGCGGACAGAGTTTCAGTTTTCCAAGATAAAGAGTTCTGTGGACAGATGGGGTGCAGGCTGCATAACACTGTGAATGTGCTTAATGCCACTGACCTGTATGCTCAATAAGGGTGAAGATGGTCAATTTTATGCTGTGTATTCTGCCACAGTTTTTAAAAATACACGTACCAAAAAAAAAAAAACCAGATCTCATTTATTTGTGAATTTGTAGCCAGGCTATAAAAACATGCATGAGGAGGGCCATCACTCCTGGGAAGGGAGGGAGAGGGACAAGGCTAGAGGAAAAAGCTATGAACACTACACAGCAGCTCTTCCAAAGAGAGGGTGGAGCATGTAGAGGAGAGCAGATAAGGCAGGGGAGATGAGATGGGGTAGGGGAGAGGAGATGGAGTAGGGGATGTGAGATGGGGTAGAGGAGATGAAATGGGGTAAAGGAGATGAGATGGGGTACGGGAGAGCAGATGGGGTAGGAAAGAGTAGATGGGATAAGGGAAAGCAGATGGGGTAAAAGAGATGAGATGAGATGAGATGAGATGAGATGAGATGAGATGAGATGAGATGGAGTAGGGGACATGAGATGGGGTAGGGGAGGATGAGATGGGGAGGGAAGGGGAGATGAGGTAGGGGAGATGAGATGGGTGAGGGGATGAGATGGGGAGGAGAGACGGGATAGGGGAAGTGAGATGGCGTAAGAGAGGTATGATGGGGTAAGGGAGGTATGATGGGGTAGGGGAGATGAGATGGGGTAGGGGAGAGTAGATGGGGTAGGGGAAGTGAGATGTGGTAAGGAAGGTGTGATGGGGTAGGGGAGATGTGATGCGGTAGGGGGGATGAGATGGGGAGGGGAGAGGAGATGGAGTAGGGGAAGTGAGATGGGAAGGGGAGAGGAGAGAGGTAGGGGAGACAAAATCGGGTATGGGAGGGGAGATAGGGTAGGGAGGTGAGATGGGGTAGGAGAGATGAGATGGGGTAGGGGGAGTAGATTGGGTAGGGGAAGTGAGATGGGGTAGGTGAGATGAGATGAGGAGGGGAGGTAAGATGGTATAAGGGAGATAAGATAAGGTAGAAGAGGTGAGATGAGATGAGGAGGGGAGGTAAGATGGTATAAGGGAGATAAGATAAGGTAGAAGAGGTGAGATGGGGTAGAGGAGGTGAGATGGGGTAGGGGAGATGAGATGGTGAGGGGTGATGAGATGGGGTAGGGGAGATGAAATGGGGTAGAGGAGAGTAGATGGGGAGGGGAGGCGAGATGGGGTACAGGAGGTGACATGGGTTACGGGAGGTGAGATGAGGTAGGAGAGATGAGATGAGATAGGGGAGAGGAGATGGGGTAGTAGAGAATAGATGGGGTAGGGGGTAGGGGACATGAGATGGGGTAGGGGAGGTGAGATGGGGACAGGAGGGGGGTAAAGGAGATGAGATGGGGTAGGGGAGAGCAGATGGGGTAGGAAAGAGTAGATGGGATAAGGGA